CACATTGTTTCAAGAAGTACTAAGGAAATTCCACTGCTAATGGATAGGAAAAAATAAAGTATATAGCATAATACCTTTGTTTTCATTTTTAAAACAAGGACCTTTTTTTTTTTTATTTTACAAAGTTATCTTTAAGTTTCAGCCTTTTCTCTCATATAGTTTTTAAATATCATTAGTTTTACTTTAAAACTCCTTTTCACAACCACCTAGTGATTTCAGCAACACTGCCCACTTYATATACAGCACTACTAAGAAGCTGTCAAATTTGGTGTCAGACAAAAAATGAACACRGGCTAAGATGTCAATCAGCATCAAAAGAAAACTAAAATTAGGTGTTTGATAATTTTTGTATTTTTGTTGGCCCGTTTCAAGGTTTTTTGACAGCTCAGCTGTTCTGAGACTCTGCAGTGGTGTGAAAATATGAGACTTGTGCAAGGAAGAGAAACTTTGTGGTGCCCAGCTGAGGGGAAGGCTGAAGCACGACACAAGGAAACCCACTGGCATTAAGGACCTCCTAAAAAAACCCCAACTTTCCACACCACAGGATGCAATTAACAGCAAGACACAAAGCTGCAGGAAAACAAATCTCATTATTTCTACCCCTGATGGAAACACTTATTAATCTTCAAAACATCTTCTGTATAAACAGAGAAACTTTCCAGTCTTAGGGGCCTGAGAAACTGATTCTTGAATGCCATTTATCTGAGTGCACCTTCACCAGAGCCAGGATGTRACTCTGCCTGTAACAAATTCTCCTCTACCTTCATCTAGTCACAAGGGATATCCAAATGCATATGTAAGTCAGGCTCTTCTGCAGTCACTCTGTCCATGACATCCCACAAAAAAATAAGAAAAGACCCAAAWTTTTTTGCAGTGCCACACATTAGCCATCTATTGAAACCAGAACAAATGAAGCCAAGGAGGCTGCCAGCAGCCTGGGTAGGCAGTGATGCAGGCTAATGTGACAAACTACTTTCAGGCCTTTGAAATATAAGAAAGGAGGCATTTTCCTCACTTTYGCTTGGATTTTTTTGATTCTAACCCAATTTTTGGCTGATGGAAAAACTCTCATTAATCTCAGTCATGCAGGCTCGAGCCTCCCCAGCACACCACCAGCTATTACAGGAGCAGGGAACGTTATCCTTCTGTCCTCTCATACAGATGAGTCAGTTTCTATTACTGAAATGATCAGCCTGATTTGCTCAAATGACCACCAGAGTGACCACTTGGAAAAAGCCAAGTTATCCACACCAGATTTCAAATTACATGCCCAAAAGTTTAACGCACTGAGTATGGCCAGCTCTCACAGAAATCCGATGCTTCTGAAGAAACTCAAGGATTTAGAAAGCTGTCAAGATCAAAGACAGTATCTTCGTTTTCCAATCAATCAGTCTTTTAAATTTGCCTGTATTTTACTAACTTTAATCATGTACAGAACACACTGAGGTTGGGTATTTTTTTTTAGAGTTGTTTCTGCTGTGGTTTGTTTTTCCTGACTTGGTTGGGTTTCTTCTTCGACAATTATCTATTATATGGCAGTTAAAAAATGCCACAGAATTCTCTTCTCTAGCTACAAGCAAAACAAGATAAGGGCGATTTCTCTGTTACTTTTCTACTGACTACATGAAAAAAACTGCCCAAAAATTTCAAGTGCATAAATTTGACTAATAAATATGTAAAGATTGAGTCACAAGCAGGATGACTGCAGAATGATGGATTGAGATCATGTCACAAATGTACTTATTTTTTTTTAAACATTGAAAAAAAAAACTCATGGAGCAGGAGTCAGATACATCTTTTGAACTAAAAAATGAGGCTGAAACCAATACAATTCTTCCCATGAATATGCAGAGCGGGGTGTAGACTGTACTCTTTTTGTCCTGTGTGAATTATCCATCACATTTTCTATTGTACATTACCAAAGTGACTCGTTTTATCCTCCCAGCCCCCACATCTGTGCTGCTGTAATTTCAGTGAATTACGCTTAATGATCATTTGCATTATGCTTAATCAGCATATCAATAATATACTCTGCACACACTAAGTAGCTCTTCTTTCTCTCCCCTTTCATGGAACCTATAGAAATGGAGCTGGTGTTTGACTGATTGGCATCACAAAAAGGTTGCTGGGCAGGTGCTGGGGATGGTGGCACAGGACAGAGGTCTTGTGGCTGCTGCCAATCACGCTCAAGCATCAGCAAAACCTGCTATTATATTTTTGTTAAATTCTGTTGCCTTGCTTTCTGGAGGGGCCAACGCTTTGTACTGCCGGGGTTTTAATGAGCTTGACCAGATCTGTGCTCCTGAGGCAAAGGCTGAGGCTGTGTGGGATGGTTCAAGGAGAGATCACATTCTTCCAGGGTGATATTACTCACCAGAGCCTAAACCACTGCCATTACCCTGTTCTCATGTGGGACGCACAAACCCCTGAATACAAATCAGCTACAAACCTTAACATGAATATTCAGGAATTTCTGGAAAGCTATTATTACATATGCCCACATCGAGGGCAACCTAAAAGAATAAAGAAGAACCCTTGAGAGCTGAAAAAACAGCCAATCAATTTGGGTCATTTTGCCAGAAATCAAACAATATCGTCTATCAACAAAATAAAATTATTAACCTAGTAAGGGGTTTATTAAACACTTCAGTTAAATTATTTTTTTTAAAAATCACCAGCTTTGGTGTACTGACATTTATGTGAACACTGCTGCACGCTCGAGAGGAACTGGCACAACACCAATATTCCCATTTGTGAGTCACAGCCTCCAGTGCAGCTCTATCAGCTCTACCTTGTAAATCACCGCTCTGCTATTAGCAATCTTTCAATATGATGTGACATCTTTATTATAATGTTTTTCCACTGAAGTTTAAGTTCATATTTCAGTTAGCTCAGAGACAGACAGAGCCATATTTACCAGGTTTAATTAATTGACTATAAATAAAAGGCTGTAAAAAGAAGGCGCCTCTCTCACACRATGTTCAAGTTGTCACCATTTTACAGCAAAATGCCAATTGGGATAGGATAAACACTGCTATTTCTATACTTTACATTTGTATTTCAATATGTAAGCCTAAAATTTCAAGGTATTTTGAAGACTACAGTCTAGAGCCTGGAGTTGGAGTTCTCTTCCAAAAACAGTCACGGCATATGATCGACATTAATTTACTGCTATGCGATTTTTAACTAAGAATTTCATTAACTTGCAAGAACATCAGGAAAATTCCATGATTTGCTTTGGCTTCGATATCCATGGATATGGCAGTAAATAGGAACAGCATGTACAAACACACGCAAACAAGTTGGGCTGGATTTACCTGACAAAAACTTGCAGAAGCCAATAAAATTGGCTTTGACAGATCCGGGGGCCCTTTTTGGTGGGGTAATGCAGCACATCTGTTYTCCTTACAGCCCCCATGATACCCTGTATCATTCCCTACCAACTGCTTTAGGCATCCAAGGCAGGAGAGACCCAGCTGCAGGGAGCAGAGCAGCAGATCTGCACAGCTGCAAGGAGTTGAACGGAGCAGAAGAGCAAAGCAGAGGAGCAGCAGGCAGCTGGGAGAGAAAGGCATCACCAAAAAAAAAAAAAAAATGCAAGTGAAGACAAAATATAAAAAACAAACAAAACCCGATGAGCCAGAAATTGCTGGAGAGTTCCCTCTTGGACATCCTGTTTGGAGACATTTCTTATGGGGAAGAGTCAGCAGAAAAAACCACTAAGAAGAAACATGAACCCTCTTCCCACTTCTTCCCCCTGAGAATGGAACAATTTTATCCAGAGACATAGAGAGATCCATGCGTAAACTCAACAAATAAACCAAACCTTAATCCTTAAACAATGCTAAACACCTGCATAATGCTTAATATCATGAAGGCACAATTTAAACATTAGCAAAGGAATCCCATGAGGCAGAGATGCAAAGGCACTGTTAACCCTGATCTCTGTAAAAGGGATAGAGGGGAACTAACAGCTTGCCCAAAGTAACAAAAAAAAAAAAAAAAAAAAGAAAGAACAGCAAAAGAAAGTGCCACAAGTGCCTTCTTTCAGCAAACACTTGATGATTCAATCTTTGCTGAGAGCCAGGGTGGCACTGGGCACTGGGGTTTCAAGTTGCCAAGTGGGGTTTTTTGTGTTTGGGGAAACAGAATGCAGGAATTCAAGAGTCATGCTGCATATCTGCACTATGTAATGCAGACGGAGAGCAGTGGGGTTTTGCTGCACACAAACACACATTCCACAGAGACATGAAGGTGGGGAGTGACCAGATAGCAGCACCACAAGAGAGATAAGCACTATATAGTCATCAATATTATGTTACCRAATCTTTTTTTAAAAGACACTGCTGGCAGAAACTATGCACAATTGAYGGAGTAGCAAGTTCAAAAGCACAGGTGCTGTAAACTTCTAAATCTTCAAATAGAATGCCTATTCTATTTGCCTGGTTTCATGACATCTGGATACAAGCTAAACAAAAAAAMCCCACTAACCCTCTAGGACATTATTTTGACATTTCTTTAGTAATATTTTAACTCATAACTTGAACAGTTCAGCAACAATGCAGCACAAAAGTTACAACAAGGTACTCACATCAGCTGCTTATGTCCACACATTTTTCACCTTCCACTACTTCCACCTGAACAAATTAGCAAGGAATACCATGGAGCAGATGCATGATCTCTTTTAGAAATACACTTTCTGATAGAGAAAGGAGCAATACCTAAAGACAACTTTTTGTTGATGTTGTTCAGTGCACCTCTTGCTTTCATTTTTCTCCCCAGGAGCGAGMCCTTCCTGGGGTTTACCTGCAGCAGGATTCATGTTCTAGTGAGAAGGCCCCACAGATATATAAGCCAYATACTGCAAGTTCAGAGCAGACTATTTTTGCAGCTCCAAAGACCCAGCRTTGCTGCAGGGTGTCCTCTGAAGAGGAAACAATGGTTAAATAGCACACTGGTCTGCAGCAGCACTTTTCCATTTCACACTCCACTGAACTCACCCCATGTGACGGGTAGGAGATCCAGCCCAGCTCCCCTTGAATTGTTTTTGAATCCAGCAGATTAACTGCAAAAGAAGACAAAATGAAGAGCAGTGAGTTTGGTTTGCTTCTGCCCAGTTACCTCAGTTACCCACACCCAGAGCAGTGTTTGTCTGAGGACCCTGTGAGCAGCTGATTTGTTCAACTGACCTGGCAGCGGAGCTACACAGAAGAAAACGACAGACAAATAAATAGGATCATCTTGTTCAGCTTAAAACACTACGAACAGCAGACATGGGAACTTCTGAAAACCAGAAAAATGACAAAAAACAAACAATGGATCACTGCTTAATTAATTACAGCAGGGGGTGGGAACAGAACTCTTYCATCAGCTGCACAAACCACAGCGTTTTCCCCTTGGATGCCTGAAATTTGGGTCAATGCATCTAACTGCACTGGTGAGATGTGAATATTTGAATCATTATTTGATTAAAGGCCTGTATTTGGCATCTATAATCTCTCAGAATACAGGAATAAATAATGAAAGCTGATAAAAGTCTTTCCTGCCGTTCTTTGTTCCTTCTGATCTAATTTGTTCTCAAATTGTCGTGCAGTAGTGCTTTTTAAATGTCATGTGTAACATATTAGATACAAAAGTAATTATTTACCATGGTGCAAGTTCAGACAAACCTACTTTTAAAGAGGGCTATCAACTGATTGCTAATCTCCCAGTTTCTTTTTTTTTTTTTTTTTTTTT